GCCACTATCGACAAACCAAGGTCTGACAATATGCCTCCATAGCTGCTCCAACACCGAGTGCAGGATTAGTTGGTCTTTGGAACCCAGTCCATTTTGAAAATGGGTTGACCTTTGTCATCTACGCAAGGTACTCTCTCCCAATACATATCCTGCTTATCACATATAGAAAACGAAGAAATGTTAGAAACATTAGAAGATCTGGGAGTATGAACCTTTGGTACCCATCTGTAGTCGGGTTTAACCCATTTCTTGTTTGATCGGATGGATGCCTTATCACTTGCTTTAGAACTCGAAACACTCTGTAATTCACTTCTTCTTCTGGGGATAAGCCGATCTCCGAGATGACTTTGAATTAATGATCTTCATTTAACTTAACCATCTCTTGAATCTGGCTTCTTGGCCGACATACCCTTCTTGTCCTTAGGAGTTTGACTCTTGGTATTTTTCGCGTTCCAGTCAGGTTTCTTTTAGAAAATCTCCCTCTTGCTGCATTCTGCCATCCTTGTGCATAGTAGGGAACATATGTGCGATTTGGACAATTTCTGGAAATGTGTCCAGGTGTTCCACAGTGAAAACATGTTTATTTCTTCACGTAGAAGTTGTTTCTGCCTGCCCCTGGTGGCGTGCACATGCCTTGTCTCTGATTGTTCCCACAAGCACATTTACAGCAAGTAGTCTGTTTCGCTTGTTTTGGTGGCCTGGATGTAACGCCCGCAGATTCGGGCTAGTCAATTTAGAGACAATAAGCGTCAAAAATGACTTTTTAATAGAATATTATTTTGAATAAATAATCTTATCCAAGTTATAGTATATGTCACAAGGGTTCTGTACATATAAAGAACGCCGAAATCGGAGATATAACGAAGAAGTTATGACCTGTCGAAGTTTTACGGCAAAACCGGCACGGAACCGGGAATTGTAAAAAGTGATTTTTTGATAAACTACTTTTTAGCCTTAGAGATCTAAATGAAAGTTGTAGTATACTTTAAACCGAGAATTACACAAAAAGAACGCTCAAATCTGACTTCGTATAAGCAAGTTATGATTTTTTCTAAGATTTCACATAACAGTGCACAACCCGAAATTCGAATTTTAGATCGAGCGATATTTGGCCTAGGCGACCTAAATGATAATTGAAGATCTAATTAACAGGAACTCAATGGTAAAAATACCTACGAAAACGGAGTCTGTATGTAGAAGTTATGAAATTTACGCGGACATTTAACAGTATAATCTCCTCGTACTGTTAAATTTAAGATTGGTCGAGAATTAGCCAACGAAGTCAAAAATAAAGTTGTAGATATTATTTTTAACTACGTGTGGATATAAATAACGTCGAAAACGGATCTCGTATGAGAAAGTTATAAATTTTTGAAAATCAGATGATTTCCACCCTGTGTGATGCCACGTGTCAGCACCAGGCTCAGACTTGGAGCCCAAGCTGGCTCACGACGTGAGCATCATCAAACTCATGACGTGAGTGACCCTCCAGCCCCCTATAAATAAGAGGTGAAGCCTCACACCTCCCATCACTTCCCTCTCTCTCTAGAACCCCTCTCTAGCCCCGAAACCCCCCGAAAAGCCTAGGGAACCTCCCTAGCACGAGGCAGAAGCCTCGGAGCTCCCGAAGGCTCCGAGAAGAAGAGCTTTCCGCTCAGAAGTTATGCCCCTGTAGAGCCCGACTCCTAGCCAAACCCCCGGTAAGTGAGTTATGTTTACCCTACTTTAAGTATAACTTATGTTTAAGTTCATTATCATTATTATGAACCTATAAACAAGATTTATCAGTGATTCCAAGTCGTTATACTGATTGATCTACTTACGTGGATGATGTCTAGGCTGTGATTTAGTGAGGTGTTTAAAGTGGGATTTCCAAACAGTATACTTCGTATACCAAACGGACCCTATCTCTGATATGATCCTACCTGGTTGTTCCTTACTTGATAGATCATGAAGTAGACTTTGAGTTGATGATGAATCTAGACTAATAATTAGTCGCAATAAAGGGCTGCTCGAATTTCGAGTCGTCACTTTGACAAGAGAGTGCATAGTTACTTTCATCTTACACATAGATATGAAGTATTTTATAGAAATTACGTGCTATGTGTGTATACTGTCTGAATACTTGCTGTCTATGCTGGATGAAACGTTTTATACATGTTTTAAATGATCTAAACTGTATATGTATTTTATATCTACAAAATGTGTTGGGTAAAACATGGGTAGATTTGAGGTGAGATAAATGATGAGCGATGAAAGGTGAGATAAATGATGAGCGATGAAAGATGAGATGAATGATGAGCGATGATACATGAGTGATAAAATATGGTGCGAAGCGATGAGCCAAAGCGATGACCTAAGAGATGAGCCAAAGCGATGAGCCAAAACGATGAGCCAAATCGATGAGCCCAAAGGATGAGCCAAAACGATGAGCCAAATCGATTAGCCAAAACGATGAGCCAAACGATGACCCAAGCGATGTCCCCGTCATCTAGCAGAGTATGGATGATAACCACGGACTATTCTAGACAGTCTAGTGGAACACTAGCAGGCTCGCAACCTGTAGGTGTTGTGAACGATGTGTTCACCCAGTGTACTCTAAAAACCCATTTACAGGTATTACGAGTGGACTCTCTAAAACGATACTGTCAATAAACGAGATAAACCCTGGCGACTATGCAGACTTAGTGTCGATTCCTTAGGAATGAATGAACGAGGAATAACTGAATCTTAGGGTAGATCCTTAAGAATAAAGAAGATAATGGGGATGGGTAATTGGGTTGATTGTTTTGATGTTTAACATAATAATTATATTATTGTGGGTTGAAAACCCTATGTACTCACCAGGTTTCCCAACCTAACCCACTCAAGCTTATTTGTATCACATGTGTTGATATTAATGTAAGCTCTGTTTATGCTTATGTTTCTGTATTGACGATGACATCCCAAATGTTTTAAAATGGATAAAAATACATTTTCTTCGGAAATGCTTTGATAACGTATTTATCATGTTTTTCTGGGAACAAATTCTGCAACATTTTTCTTAAAAGAGGTACTCTGGTTTTTTTTATAAAGCATATACAAAATCGGTCTTTTCTGGTCGTGAAAATGGGGATGTCACAGTTGGTATCAAAACATTAGTTTAAGCGAACTAGGAATAAGGATTTATTTCTAGACTTAAACATAGAATGCTAAGCGATGATCGTGAGGAGTGTGTCTAATATATTTTAGGAAGTACACCTGAATAGACACAAGCATTAGCTTAATTAGGGAAGATGCCTAAAAGGCTTTTATGTGCTAAATGATTTATGATGTTTTATTTTATCATTTGATCGGATCTATGGTCTGTTGCCGACCGGATTTGGAAATTTTATGTGTTCAGATTTCTAAACGTTTAATTATGATATTAGAACTGGCATGTAATTTTTCGAAGTAATAAGGAGGAATACGCGTCTAAAACTTCCTCTATCTATATTCTTGTCTCGACACACCAAACGACTTCTATGGTGTGCAGAACATCATGGTGAAGACTCGTAGAGAATTGAGTAAATGGAGGAAATGAAAAGGCTTATGATAGTGAATGACACCTATCGGAAGATATCGTAAGAGTGGTATCTTGCCTTCACTACTAGAAAAATAGCCTTTTCCGATGCACAATTAATGACATACACTGATAGAGGACGCACATTTGTGTGTGCCCTAAAAATTAATGTCAGTTTTCCAAAATTTAAAGGATAGAGGACACGCATTTTTGCGTGCCCTAAAATTAGTGTCAGAAAAAAAAATACGGAGGGCGCCTATTAAAAAATGTGCGTCGTGTAACTGTGTCGCTTTATATTTTCTTAAGGAAACACGCGTTTTTAAGGGGAAAAATGAAATCCAAAAAATTAACCCCCGCTTATTCATCCCAAAAATTCCCCGCCACTTCGAGTTAGGCCTTCGTCTTCATCCACAGCTTCCTCAATTCCTCGATCCATCACCTCCACCAAAAACCTAATTCTCGGTTCCAACAAGTTCTTACACTCTTAATTCGACCCTAATGAGCTGAGGATTTAGGGTTCTTACCTCCCACTTATCAATTTGAGCCGATGATTTAGGGTTCCTAAATCCGACCCTAATTTTTTCTACCTCACTCTCGTATTTCCATCTCATCCCTCTCGCCTGGTTCAAAACACGTAATGGGAGATGAACACACTATTTCTTTGCATATTTTGGTCTTCACCAAGATCTGGTTTCCATGTAAGCTTTACGTTTCGATCCCAAACCATCCTCATACGATGTCATCAGCTTCTTTTTTTACTTTGATCTCAAGGAGATGGAGTTTAACTCAGGCGGCGGCGGAGGTGCAGGAATCGATGGGAATGACGTGGAGCATAAGTAGTTTTACTTTGATCTCAAGGAGAATCCACGCGTTTGTTACCTGAAGATATCGGAGAAGACGTCGACGATAAGGTCCACCATAATCGTACCTTTCAATGGAATCTATTGGTTCTTTTATATCTTCAACTAGTACGTCACTTCTGATGACCAAGATATTTCTAGCAAGGAACTCCAGCTTGATAGCAAGGCAATTTATTATATTACACATTACACATACTATACATACGCTTTCATATTTATTACTCTACAAAATGTGGATTGACTTTCCTAGTTTCTTCAACAATCATCATAGATTTTTCTTTCAAATAACCTTCATATCTGTCCAATTACCTTTCTGATTAGGGTTCTTTCTTCAGGTGTTTTACTTTGACATTGGGGAAAACAGGAGGGGTCGGTTTCTCAAGGTACGTAGTTGTGTAATTATGGTTTCAGTATGATTAAAAACGTGGAAGCTTGTAGGTTTTTATGTTTGTGCCTGTATAATCATGTAGAAATCCTAAAGAGAATGCAATAATGTTTGTTGAGATTGCTAATATTTAAAGATTTAATTAAAGAAGAGGTTCTAAATGCAACCTGTTATTGTACACAAACAGAATCTTCAGAAACATGAAACATGAAACATGAAACATGAAAGCATATCCTATGTTAATGGAGTGTGTCTACAGGTATCCGAAGCTTCAGTTAGTAGAAACAGGAGTACTATCATTGTCCCAGCAGGAAGCACTAGAGATGAAGGGTGGAGTGCATTCAGGAACATCTTGGAAGAAATAAATGAAGCATCTAAGCTTTTTGTTCTTCCCAATCAGGTTCTATTTTCAACCTTTCTCCACCTTTCTTTTCAAGAAACCAATCCATCTTCTCTTTTTCATGATTCAATTTCTTCCTTTTTTTAATAAGCAGCAAAATACCGATGCCATCTGTTGAAGAAACAGGTCTTTCTTGAAAGGAAAACGGGATAATCAATAAAGGTGCAGAGGAAGGGGCAAATCAGTCAATTCCTCAGGGTCAGAAGAGTAAAGATACATCTGTTGAAAGTGATAAGAAGCAATATGAAGTGACTTCATCTACATCTAGTAGTAAGATAGAGGGCCAAGTGCCAAAGGTTATTCCTGTTAAGTCAATTAAGATCCCAACTGTTGCCTTAGGGTCTTCTGAAAGTGGACATGTGCCAATCTTGTTGACTTCCAAAAACACATCTGCATCCAAGACACCATCAGTATCACCTTCACCAAGGGTATATTTGTCCAAAAAAGATCCTATTTTGATGCCATCACAAGATTCACAGTTGTCTGTGCCCTGTGGGTACTATTAGACATGAGGTTGGGAGTAAAGTAGCTGCAGTTGAACAAATTCAAGAGACCCCACTTGTGATCAAATCGACTTCTTGTGAGAACCTTTTTTTTTAATTTATTTAATCACCATTTTGTTATCATCTTGTTTTGTATTTGATGTAAATTAATTGTATTTATGAATGGTTAAACATGGCAGCTGGTTCTGAGCAAGGGAAGGTGGGACCCAGTGAGCTTCAGGGAGTCGGGAAGAATGTGGTTTCAGAGTCTTCTTCACGACCAGGATCATCTTCTCATGTCTCCTTTTCCATTTCCAGGCCTTCATCAAATTATAATAATAGGATCCAACAAGCAATTGGACCTCAAAAAGGTATCAAGACGATGATACCTTAACTTTTAACTGAATGCTTTTATTAGAAGTGAAACAGTAGAACTTAATGACAAACTTGTTTTTGATTTCCTATAGTTGGTCCTAGCATGGAATGGAAACCAAAATCAATTGCTCAAAGTCAAAGGTCAATTAAGGTGCTTGTGGTTGTGGTTCTAGTTGAAGCTCATACTCCAACAACAGTTTCTTCTGCATCCTCCACTAATCTTGATTCAAAGGAGGATGAAGTTGAGAAGAAGCTGAAGGAGTCCTACATTTCAGATGATAAACATGTCATTATCCCAAATCACCTTCATGTTCCTGAAGCCGAAAAACTCGGATTCTATTTTGGGAGGTTTGATGCAACTTTTGGTTTTAATAAAACCTCCTCAAACTCAAATGGTCCTGTGGCTGTGACTGTGAGTGACAAGACTTCTGAAGCATCTTAGGAGGCTAATGAAACTATAGAGGATCAAATGCAATCCAGGTTTCTGTTACTTAGGTTTTATTTCATATTGGAGTAGACAACATTTTATGATAAATGTATGTACTTTATTGGTTCAGAAATGAAAATGCTGATGGAGAGTAGGATCATCTTGAACGCCCTACCACATCTTCATCTAATGTACCC